GCCCGAACCCCCCCCCCCCCCACCACTGCCCTCCCCCCCAGCTGGTAAGAGAAGCACAATAAACCCCCGTACAGAGGGGCATATATCAGGGCAATTGACTGGTGTTGAGTTAATGAGTCAGTGTCACCTGCTGGAGGGAGAATGAACTACATCACTTAGTGTGTGTGTGTGTAAAACACTGGGGGGGGGCAGAGAGAGAGAGAGAGAGAGAGAGAGAGTACATCAATGTGTGTATTTCCTCCTGACACCAAAACATTGACCTCCATTAAAGTGGATTTATGACCAGGCTACAGGTGTGTGTGTGTGTGTGTGTGTGTGTGTGTGCGTGTGTGTGTGTGTGTGTGTGTGTTGATACTTCTCTGTCAACTCACTGTTCTCTGCTCAGACTCATCAAACAGCTGATTGACAGCTGATTGACAGCTGACCATGGTTTCTCCTCTCAGAGAACTTTGATGAACCTGAAGTTGGTGTTAACAACCTGGTTAACAACCTGGTTAATAACCTGGTTAACAACCTGGTTAACAACCTTGTTAACAACCTGGTTAATAACCTGGTTAATAACCTGGTTAACAACCTGGTTAACAACATTGAGACGTGAAGAGTTGGAGTTAAACTGACAGAAGAATGTGTGGCAGTAAAACAACAGTCGGGCCTGGGGAGTGTGTGTGTGTGTGTGTGTGTGTGTGCGTGTGTGTGTGTGTGTGTGTGTTGATACTTCTCTGTCAACTCACTGTTCTCTGCTCAGACTCATCAAACAGCTGATTGACAGCTGATTGACAGCTGACCATGGTTTCTCCTCTCAGAGAACTTTGATGAACCTGAAGTTGGTGTTAACAACCTGGTTAACAACCTGGTTAACAACCTGGTTAACAACCTGGTTAACAACCTTGTTAACAACCTGGTTAATAACCTGGTTAATAACCTGGTTAACAACCTGGGTAATAACCTGGTTAACAACCTGGTTAATAACCTGGTTAATAACCTGGTTAACAACCTGGGTAACAACCTGGTTAACAACCTGGTTAACAACCTTGTTAACAACCTGGTTAATAACCTGGTTAATAACCTGGTTAACAACCTGGTTAACAACCTTGTTAACAACCTGGTTAATAACCTGGTTAATAACCTGGTTAACAACCTGGGTAATAACCTGGTTAACAACCTGGTTAACAACCTGGTTAACAACATTGAGAGGTGAAGAGTTGGAGTTAAACTGACAGAAGAATGTGTGGCAGTAAAACAACAGTCGACCCTGGAGACTGTGTGTGTGTGTGTGTGTGTGTGTGTGTGTGTGTGTGTGTGTGTCTCATTATGAGCTGAACATCTTTGTTATTCCTCCCCCTGCTGGCCATGGAGACATATTGTTGCCAAGTGATCATTTGGTCCGTTCTTCCTCCCTGGTCTACAGCATGCTGCTGATTGGACAATATGGACCACAATGTGGTCCACAATGTGGTCCACAATGTGGTCCACAATGTGGTCCACAATATGGTCCACTTAGACCTTTGTACTGGTCCTCACATGTACGGCCCATGAGGTGTGTGTGTGCAGGAGAGGCACACACACACACACACACACACACAGACCAAGCTCAGCGGCTGTTGGCAGATCATGAAGTATTTGAAGTATTTGAAGTATTTGAAGTATTTGTTCTGGCCCAGGTCCATCAGAGTGGTCAGCCTGTGGCCAAGTGGTTCAGGAAGTGGGCTGTTGATCAGAGGAGTCCTGGGTTTGGTTTTCACTGATGGCTGAGCTGAAGCTGAACCGTACTGAACCGTACTGAACCGTACTGAACCGTACTGAACCGTACTGAACCGTACTGTTCTGTACCAACGGTCAGTAAAGATCTAAACATGTTTATCCACCAGTCGTCCACACAGTACCAGGGGTCCAGTACTACAGTACTGCAGTACTACAGTACTGCAGTATCAGTCATGCAGCGTTGTGTCCAGTTTTCTCACAGATGGGAACAACCCTTATTTTTAGCCAACACCAGTCTGTGACTCCGACCCACATCTGTAGTCCACACCGGCTCTCATGGCAGGACTGGGAGACTGGGAGTACAGTACAGTATGTGGACCACAGTATGTGGACCACAGTATGTGGACCACAGCATGTGGACCACAGCATGTGGACCACAGTATGTGGACCACAGCATGTGGACCAGTATTTTTTTTTTTTTTTTGGTTAAAAACATCTGGGTCACAATTCCTGACAGACAGAGCGCCACCTGTCTGTCAGGGTGGTGGACTGATTTACCTGCCCCACGGGGGCATGAGTTAATTGCCCCCACCTGGACCAGACTGAGGTGGAACAGATAGTTCTGGACAACGTTGGTTCTAAGACTTCTGCACAGCAGTGGTCTGTAGAAACAGACGTCCGGCCTGAAGCCTGTTGGCGACTGAAGGAACTGCAGCAGCCTGGAGCAGAGACAGAGACAGAGACAGAGACAGACGATGACTTCTCTTCTTCTCCACAGCAGTCTTCATGTCCTGGAGCTGTCTGTCTGTCCGTCCCCTCTCTGTCTGTCTGTCCATCCCCTCTCTGTCTGTCTATCTGTCTGCCTGTCTGTCTGTCTGTCTGTCTGTCTGTCCCCTCTCTGTCTCTCTGTCTGACTGTCTGTCTGTCCCCTTTCTGTCTGTCTGACTGTCTGTCCCCTCTCTGTCTCTGCTCACGTCCATGTGTGTTTTTAATGATGGACGACGCCCCCCCCCTGACAGAACACTGACTGATGACACTGGAGCAGCTCATTATGACACGTCTTATCAGGTCCAGGCAGAGTGACTTCACACACACACACACACACACACACACACACACACACTGTTAAAGTCACTTCTACTTCAATGTCATATATTGTTGTCGTACGTTCAGTCTGTGAACACAACGACAGGTCAGAGGTCAGAGGTCAGAGGTCAGAAGCCTACCGTCAGCTTCAGTTTCTCTGGTACTTGTAGCTTCCTCTCTGGCCTGTATGTGGCGCTAAAGACACCTTGTCCTGTGAACTGGGTCAGAACCACCAAACAACGAGAACGTTCCGTCTGTTTACTGCCACCTACAGGCTGCATTCCCACTGCTATTTATGTCATTCTGGTCAGGAACGAACAAATACTTTGTGAGTACTTGTGTGTATTTAAGTGGACAGATATTTGTTTAGACAGTTTGACACCATTACAGGTGTGTGTGTGTGTGTGTGTGTGTGTGTGTGTGTGTGTGTGTAGAAGGCCATCTTTAAAACTATTAACAGAGAGAGAATGTTATAGCCTGCAGACAGCAGGGAGATAATTACCCAAATCTCCATGGGGGGGCAGCACTCCCTCAGCCCCTTTTTGCTGGAAATAGTGTGTTTCCCTCCACACTGGTGTTGAACTGGCACTGATTCAAATCATCACAGTCACTGAGGATTGGAGGGACTCAGAGCTGTTGATTGGTCCTCCTCCCTGACCTGTGGGGGGGGGGGGGGGGGGGCTGAGGTGCTTTGTTTTCTTTTTTCTCTTTTCCTCCTGAACTCAGTTGTAGCATGGTTGTAGCATGGTTGTAGCATGGTTGTAGCATGGTTGTAGCATGGTTGCTAACAAATCTTCCACATCAGCTGGTGAAGAAGATTTGTTTCATTTGTGTCTTTCTTCAATTCCTGCCAATTTCTCAGCAGTGTGTTCAACTAAACAGGTTAACAGTTCGTCCAAACGAGAAGGTGCTTCATTCAAACGTTCAGACATTAGAAAGACTAAAGACGTCCTCGTCCTCCGCTGCAGACGGACTGCTCTTCGTCATTAATTAGTCATCCGGTCGGTGCCTCGGAGCCGTCGTCTGTCTTTGTCCGATTTAAACGGCCAGTTCTTTTTTCTTTGACAAAACGCCTTTCACACGAAGAGGACGATCTAGATCTGCTGCGACCAGACGAGAGGCCACAGATCAGCTGAGACATGAGGTCTTTGGTGGTTCTGGACCGAGCCCGGCTCCAGGAGGTCAGAGGGAAGTGACTGTTAAAGTGCTGAGGTCGCAGCCCAGTGAAGGCCGCGCTGCATGAATAATTAACATCATGCTGACGAAGTGCTGATGTGCAGCCGCTAAAAATATAGTTTGAAATGTTTCAGCTCAGGTTCTGATGGTCCTGGTTCTGTCCTGTGAACCGGGAACTCACCGGTACTGAAAGGTGAGGATGAAAGCGGGAACTCACCGGTACTGAAAGGTGAGAATGAAAGGGAGGAGGTTCGTTCTGATGGTCCTGGTTCTGTCCTGTGAACCGGGAACTCACCGGTACTGAAAGGTGAGAATGAAAGGGAGGAGGTTCACCAGGGTCCAGGGTCCAGGGTCCAGGGTCTGGTCTGATGCTGGTTGTGGTGGAGGTTAAAGGTTCAGTTCTCCCAGTCAGACTGGGTTTGGTTCCTAAGAACAGGTTTAAAAAAAAACTTCACTGACAAGAGAAGTATTCCCCTGTAGGACGCCCCCTGTAGGACACCCCCTGTAGGACTCCCCCTGTATTACAGTATTCCTCCTGTAGGAGTACGTTCAGCAGATGAGGTTTTATTGTTTACTACGACTGATTGAAAATCTCTTTATGATTTATTCAGATTACTCAGAGTAATCTGGATTACTGTCAAACCCTGCTTGTTGTTTGTCTGTTGTCAGAGTTGGTGAAGATGAAAAGTTGAATTACCAGTCAAAGTGTTATATGAGCTCAGGATGTACAGTACGCCCCCCCCCCCCTCCCCCCTCCGACCACTAACCTCGTCTTCTCTGTCTCTGCTTCTTTCACAGCTCTCCAGACCAGCCAACCTCCCAAAGTCCTCTTCCCCCCAGAGAGGCAGGACACCGTCATAGAACTCACCCCTGGTAGGAACCCATGTCTCTGTTACTCTGTCACAATAAAAGACTTCACTTCCTGTCTGTTTACGTCACCAGAGGTATTCTCAAACACCAGGGCGCAGACCAGTTCCAGGTCCTGGGCTGTTAATGCAGACTTTGTTTTAGTTCTCTCCTCTTGGTACACCTGAAGAGTCTTAACAAAATAACAGTACAGTACAGTACAGTACAGTACAGTACAGTACAGTACAGTACAGTACAGTACAGTACAGTACAGTACAGTACAGTCCCTGTCCAACCACAGTAGTTCTTCTACTGGAAACGACAAACGTCATCGTTCTTCTTCTTCGACCGTCTCTTGTTTTTGAATTAACGCTAACTCAGGTCGGACCACAACTGGAACAACATCGCCCCTCAGAGGCCGAGAACATTTAGTTGAAATACATGTGAGGTCATTAGTTAGCGAGCAGCTAACAAGCAGCTAACGAGCAGCTAACAAGCAGCTAACGAGCGGCTGAATACTGGACTTGATTGACAGGTTAATGATTAGAAAAGTTATTGGAACAAATACATGAGTTTATGTGACAATAGTTACACACACACACACACACACACACACACACCCAGCCATCGGAGCAGCCTGATTGGCTGGGACGACAGGGTGAGATAAGGAGACAGCTGTCTTTTGTCTCCCTTTCTCTCTCCTCTGTCGACTCCCCCATCACATTTATCTCCCAGTGTCTGTCGTCCTCTGTCCCTGTGATGTGTCTGACCCCCCCCCCCCACCCGTCCACCTGTCTGCCTCCCTCTGCTGCTCCCTTTTGTCTCCCTCCCTCAGCTCCCCCTCTGGTCGTTAGTGTGATGACGGGGTGTCATGTGACTAATCTGTCAACAACACCTGAATAATCCAACATGGACCGGACCAGTGAACCAGGGACAACTGGTCCACTACTGCTCCTGGACACTGGATATAACCGTGACTTTGACTCTGAAGTCAAACTGTTGCCCCCCCCACGATGATCAGGAGCCACACACACACACACACACACACACAGACAGATCAGTGTTATTGATGATACCATCACAGATTGTAAACTCATTACCACATATGAATTGCCCCCGGTGCTACTTTCCAGTCTACCTGCACCTGGTCCGAGGGGAATAACAGCTCTGAAATGAAAACGCTGCACTGGTCCCTGGTCCCTGGTCCCTGGTCCCTGGTCCCTGGTCCAGTAACTCAGTTAAATAATGACTTTCAGCTGAAGAAGTAGACCGCCCTCCGGTGGTGGACTCTGGAGTACCAGCTGCCACCCAGATCTGTCACCCAGCTCTCTGATGTGGCTCCTCCCCCTCTGAGACCAAATCTATTAACACTCCACACGGAGAACCAGGAAGAAGGAGGGAGTTTGACTATTATTGGTAAGAACAGGGCAGAGCAGTAGTTCTTACTCCTTTTACGTAAAAAAAATACAATCCTGTGTAATTGGACCTGGGGCCTGCCTGCTGCCT